TGGATTTGGAAACAGCACGTGCCAATTAATCCAACAGACTAGAGAGGTTAGAAGAAGAACGTCTTATGGACATGCCTTTCGATGTTAGTGAACCCTAAGTTGAAGGACATGACGGCTTTGCCAGATTCTACTGGAAACATGACGAACAATTGCATCCTTTGAGAAAGGAAAAAAGGAAAAGGTGAAGACGCACACTGCTCCACATGGAAAGAAACAAGATATGCATATGAAAAGTATCGTGAAGTTAGAAGTCAAATTACATCTGGTCGAACCTTTACAGTAAACTTTGACGAAGGAAAGAACAAAGAAGGCTTCATGGGAGTACTTGCTGCCATACAAGACGGAAATAAGAAAGGACACAATCTCAAATTGACCATAACAGATTTGGATGGTCCACATTTACTATGCACATGGCAATGAACAAACAGCCGCAAAACTTCTTGACGCTTTTTAGCCATTTTAAATAATCTTCGGCTTGTTTCAAAAATTTTTCATTGACATATTTGCGACTATTGAATAAAGTAATACCTGCATTGAAATAGCTAGTGAATCCTTCACACCGACTACACGAATCATTAACTATAATTCCTGACATATTTTTAAGATCATAATCATATAATTCATCTATGTTTTGGACCACCAATGCATCTCCATCTAAATGTAAAAACCTCTCAAGTTCTGGATGTGCGTCCGGAAAAAGAAGTCGAATATATGTGTCATAACCAATCAGAAATATCTTAGGAGTTAAATATTGGGGTTTATATGTTTCGATATAGAATTTTGTATTCTTAATTGGACGAGCGGAAAAGTGTTTTCTATATTTTGATACAAGTTTCGAATTTATTGTTGCAATATAAAAAGAAATATGACGATTTTGATGAGTATTAATGATTGCATATATTGCTGGACCTAAATTTAAAAGATCACTTGACCATGCAAATAAAACATTCATTGTTTCAAAGAACTCACCATGAAATCCTTGGATTTCAACCGTTGAAGTGTAGCGAAAGATTAGAATTTCAGCGACCACTAAAGCAATGCAATAAAGTTGAAGGATAATATGGAACATTAATTCAAGTTTTATGAGTGCTCTCTGAAAGTAAACTACATAATTTATTCATTGGTTAGACATTCTAAATCTTTTTTAATATCGTCTATTATGAATGTTTTTCATACTTTAATGTTCACAATTTCTTAAATAAAATATTAAAATTCCCCAAATAATTATATTCACACATTTATTTAATAAAGGAAATATCAAGAAAAAGATCATCACAAATTGAATCATGAAAAAATAATTTATAACTATTCAATCAAAAGATAGTGAACCATTTATATATGTTTTTAAAATAAATATATAATATGAAGTTTTTGATATACTTATCAAAAATTGAATTGAAGCCGACAAAATTTGAGAGGTTATCGATTTTGTAATTTAATCGTTATCGTCTTTTTCTAAACGTGCATTTTTACATTAAAAGCAATGCAACTCCAAAATTAATTGGTATTTAGACTTAATTAGGTGCAGACAAACGAAATGCAGTCCAAATATTTTGGTGATATATGAATTACATAAATTTAGGGAAATTGAAATTATATTCTTTTTAAATTTTTAGGAAAACAGATTTATAGAATTGTTTAAGTCATCAAAATAATGCAGACTTAGGTCAAATTTTCCAAATTTAATCATTTGCAAGACTTTCAAGCGACTTCAAAATGTCGAAATATAAGTCCAAAAATAAAATTACGATTACAGTCTATCCTCAATTATTATCACGCTAATTATTGAGTGACCCATGCGTTCGTATGTATGTAATACCTTTTAAAAAGGAGATGAGAGAGATAAACTACATTTACAATTTAAATCTGATGTATTTACTTGTTACATTTACAAATGTAAATGTTTCTCGTAATGTTTACATTTTGTAAGTATAACGAATAAAAATGACGCACTTTTTTTACAAAGTCAAATTATTGTTCGATTTTTGCAGCTTGTAAACGATTAATTGTATAAAGCAATTGATATTAGCACGACATAACTGAATAATTCTAATATTGAAATCAAAAGCCCTTAAAATATCATGATATTTTAATTTCATAACAAATCTAGGAGACTATTTGATGAAAACATATCCGAGTGGGTTTTGTTGTATTATATAACTTGTTATTGACTTCTTAGCTTTCCAAATTTTTTTCGATAATGAGAAAACGAATGAAAAATCAACATTTGGTCCATTTAAAATTTGATTTGTTTACATTTTTTTTACTTTTTGAATTTCAATTTATATTTTCCTCAAGAAATACTTTAGATTTTAAGAAACTAAATCATATAATCTACTAAGAAAATATATTAAATCCTATAATACTCAAAGTTTTGTGATAAATCCGATCTTTTTTATTTTACTTTTATTATGTTTTTGCAAACTTAAGGTCCTCACTAGGTAAAACATAATACTCTTTGAAGTTAAGTATTTTCACAAAGAGAGGACCAACAATATCAAAATATTGAATAAAGATTTGTATTATTTTATTTATTTTTAAGAACATGTTTAAGAACCCTCATTATCTCCACGAATATTGCATATTTTTCTATTCTAAGACCACCAAAATTACGTTTTAATATAGAAAATAACATATTTATGTGATGCTAAAGTCGAAGTCCTTAAAAAATTAGTGTTAAACATCCATTTCTTACAAAATTGAAGAAATATATGTAAAATATAACACATAATTTAGTTATTTGACTCAATTATTAGTTATGCAATATCAGTTGTGTTTATATCTGCGTTATATCACGAGATGCATTGAATTGTCATAATTAGATCACCGTAAATCTTATCAATTTTTGATACACTTCCGGTGAAAAATTTAGCCTTGACAATAGGATGAAATATATTGTAAAAAAATAAATTTTAGATTTTGAAGTTTATCATTTCGAATAATGAAATATAAACAATACAAATTTTCTGTCGTTTCGAGATTCATAAATGATCGGAATCTTCCAGCTCCGACTGAAATAGAACTTTCGGAAGCTAATTTTCAAGACGAATCTTCTTTATTAAGATTTATTTTGGATATCCCTAAGGATTTAAGCTTTTCCATTGACTCATATTCAATGAATCTTTTGATACATTTCATTATCGAGCAATCTACACAAAATGAAACAATATTAAAATTCACAATTCAAAATATCACTTCTTCGAATATCTTTCAAATAGATTTGATACTACTGGAAAATTTATTCGAATATTTATCGCATTATATTAACAAGATTTTTTTCATTTTTTCATTAAAATTAATTCATTTTAAAGCTTTAGATAACATACAATACCTTTATTTATCAACATTTTCCGATCAATATGATGAGATATTACGTTTCATAAGCAGCAGTGACAATTCTCTCTATATCATCGATACATTTATTGCTTTGATTAAAAACAATATTCTTGACGTTGAATTCTTCCAAAACGCAGTTTTACTCAAGAAAGAAATTTTTTCTAGTATTATTGAGTACGAAAATCAATATTCAACTTATGCAATTGCAAATTTCTTTACAAAATTATTAAAATATTACCCAGGATATGCAACTGCTCTTCCATGTTCGGATATACTAATATCAAATTATTTCAACTTTTTTAATGACGTGAATTCAATTATAAATAACGAAGATTTTGTTTATCTTCTCAAATTTATAGTTTTATTTTATAAAGCAGTCGATATAACATCTGAGATGGCTTTAGAATTCATAAAAACACTTGAAATTCTGCGAAGTCTTTCTCCTCACTATTCATTTACAGAGTATGTAGTTCAGGGGTATTATTGTGTACTTCCTCTTATACCCATGCAAATTTAATCTACCGATTTTTTAAATTCACATGAATTTTTAATTAATTATGCAATTGAGAATTCAAATCTTCACAAATATTTGAAATTATATTCCAGATGTTTCCGCAGATTTGATAGCGATGAAATATTCAAAAATGTTTTTCATATCTTAAACCTTGTAGAAGTTACAACAGAATATTTATCAGAAAATCAGGATCTTTCTGAGAAATAAATCTTTATTTGCAACGATATCCTAACGAGGGTTAATTTAATTTTTATTTTTTATTTCAAGTTTGAGTAAACTTTCAAGATAATCTATATAAGCCTTTTGATGTTCTTCATCTAGATTCTTGTTTAATATGTGATGAATTTGATTTTTTTTTTGAAAATTCAAGATAAAATTCTTTTTTATCTTGATCAACAACATGAACAATTCGAGTACAGCGTAACATTTCATCAATATTTTCTGTTTTCTTCGTTTCTAGATATTTTTCAAATATTTCTTGCGGAATCTCATTTTGATATACCCATTTATTTTTTTCCGGATGCTGATCTTTGTACTTAACGAAATATTGCTTGACTATTCGCTCAGAAACAACATATTCGATCTCTTTTCTCTTTCTCATTGAATATTTGTGACACTTTTGAATTCAATCAAATCAAAAATATTTGAAATTGCTAGAATTTTTTTTCTTTCTCATGAATATTTGAAATGACTCAAAAGGAAAACTCGTTCGATTCAATTCAATTTTGAATCAGAATTTTTTAAGGACCAATAAATCAAATTATGTTAAGAAAATCTTTTTTTAACTCAGAGTATCAAAAGTACGTTAAACCTTCAATTTTATCTCATGTCGGAAAGCGAACCGACAATAGTGGAAGAGAATCAAACTATATCAGTATCCATCCAAGCTATTGTTGATGAAGAAAAAGGAGATGGAGCTGATATGCTTGATTTAATTCAAAATGAATTGAATTCTCGTAAAAAATTGAAATATAGAATGGAAATACCTGAAAATTCCCCAATTCCAATTCTCAAGGAAAGATATAGCAAATTAAAATTTACAGATCCTACAGAAGCTGCTATATTTATTGCAAAAGATTCATATAATTCTTTTTATCCATTAAATTTTGAGCAAGGAAAAAAGTTTCGTTGTCCTAACTGCCAATTTTGCATGGAGCTTGTAAAGACTCATGAAAATGGTCAACTTTTCTTCATTCCAGTAATTAAACACGAGCATAGAGCAAAGCAATGCAAGCCGAGTAACAATATACCAAAAATTCTTAAGTTGCAAGCAGGAAAAAAAGTCTATGAATTAGCAAATTCTGATAATGTTCCTCAATGCAAAGAAATTTTTGCAAAAGAATTGAATATTCCCAATGCAACTTATACGATGTTCCATAATATAGTAAATAAACTTAAAGGAACCACAAAGGGGGATAGAATTCAATCTTACAATTATTTCTCAACAATTTTTTCAATCATAAACAAAATCGAACAAGGATTCTGCGAAATGATTTTAGTTAAAGAAGTTAACAATGAAATTGAATTGCATACATTTAAGAAAGGTGATGAATTACCTGAAAATTCAAAAGACTTTCAAATTTATTCATTTATTGTAATTCCTCCAATAACTCATTTTTACATGCAAACACAAGCTTTTTGCGGAATAATTCAAATTGATGGAACATTTTTATTTTGTATTAAAAAAGGAAACTTACTCATTATTGGTACACCTGCACCAAATAATAGACTTATCCCTATTGCATTTGCATGGTCTGTTAGTGAAAATACGATAACAATTAAGGATATGCTCACTAAATTGAAATCTTTTATTCCACCAAGCAGATTCAAGAATATTTATTCCGATCAAGGTCCGGCAATTATAGCTGCTGTTAGAGAATCAGGCTTTTCTTGCGATCATAAATTTTGCTTACGTCATTTTGCAACAAAAAGGGAATACATCAATGTCTATTCCGAAATTGTTGAAGTCGCTTACGCAGACCATCCTCAAAAACGAATTGACTTGATTAAAAAGTTAGAAACTCGTTTACAAGAGGAATATCCAAACCGCGAAAATAATCAGGATCTCTTTAAGTACTTAGATAGTATTAACCCATTTGAAGGATTCGCTGACTACACCGCTGGCATACTCACAACATCTCTTATTGAATCCCTTAATGCCGAAATTAAAGATAAATGGGATACATATGAACCCGCCGAACTAATTATCCGTCTCATTGAACATGAATTCAATCTTGTTAAAAATGTTTTTTTAACAGGTGATTTTAAATCAGATAATATTATCAAAAATCTAAATGAAACTTTGAAACATTCAGATATGTTTAGCTCGGTATTATATGATCCAATTCAATAATTATATTATGCAACTTTTGGTCGCTATACATATTGCGTAAAAATTATGTCAGATTCACAATATTCATGCACATGTAAGCACATCGAATTATACGGATTACCTTGTATTCATGTAATCGCCGTATTGAATCACTTTTCGAACAAAAATCTTCTTAAAAATTTGAATGATGCAGTTCATGCTCGCTTCAAATGTTCAGAGTTTATGACTCCTGTGGAAGATTTAATGAAATTTTATGTTGACCAAGCATCTTTAAAAATTCCCGGAATAAATTTCAACCTGGGAGAGATTGAAAAATTAAGGGGAAAAAGGACTAGGATTAAAGCATTTTACGAAAAGTGATGCTGTGTTGTTAGTTATTTATTTACTTTTTTTAATATTTTTTAAAAAAATAAAAGAAAATTCAAATAATTTTGTATCTCCCATGATATATCGACCCACGAGTACTAATGTGGCTATAATTAGAGATTGCAACTCTATTATGATCATAGTCCGGTGATATACAATAAGATTCAAATTTTGAAAGAATTAAATTAATAAAATCCCGGTGAAAAAAATAAAAACAGCTTCTAAAAGTATAGTTATCTTAAAATACGAACTTCAACACAAGTTTTTTGATCCAATAGAAAATTGAATTCTTTGAATAAATAAAATATTTTATGTATTAACATATTAAATTTCCTAATTATTTTTTCTTCTTGGGAAAATTTTTGAATTCGAATAGAAAATTCAATAAATTGAAATTGGGTTGAAAGAATTCTCCATATTAACTTGTCATATATTTCAGATCATATAAATTAAGTTAATTAAATTTTTTAAAAACCTTAATAGGATAAAAAAAAGAATTTACACTCTCTCACTTTGAAAACGTAGAAAATGCCAATCTATTGGTATACATTTTAGTTTTGTTAAGTTTACAAAACAATTACTCTAGATTTTAAAGATTTATCAAGAATTTAGAGAATATCCTTCTCAAAACAACTTCAATAGCGAAGGATTAGTATTGAATCGGATTTGTAACATAATTATAGTACATTACAATACAATTTCTCCGACTTTTAAATATTTTTGAAATATTTACAAAATATGCTCTTTCTATCATCGATACTTTAATACAGAGCAAATTTAGTAAATGTCATCACGTTATTTTTTCATAAATCGTTTTCGAACTTTTGAAATATTTATTTTAAACCAGTTTTCTACATTTAATATGTGAATTATATCAAAAGTAGATGGGCGATACTTGTAAATCTATTTAAACTATTAGTTTGCTATTATTGAAGAACTTTATAATTTTTTTTTCTTATGTATGGAATTAAAGATAATTTTGCTGATTCCAACTGGTTTTTCTATATGAGTTAAATATGCCAAGTGAAATTGGACTTGCCAATATTGTAAATTGAAGTATGGACTATATATCGATTTTCATTGATTGATGAATAACTCGGAGTAATGTAATTGTTGATAATGAAAAATAGTTTTCAATTGCTGGTAAGGGCCAATGTATGTTCAATAGCTCCGAAAGCAAAAAATGCACGTTTAGAAAAAGACGATAACGATTAAATTACAAAATCGATAACGACGACGATTAAATTACAAAATCAATAATGACCCGAAAATTAACGTTCTAATATTGTGATTTCTTTCCTGAGTTGCTTCATTTCCCTGCGAATTATCGAATAAAATCAATTTTTCATAGCCACAACGGATAAATTGTTAAAATTATTAATCTTTTTTTTTAATCTAGCCATTTTTCCATTGCAATGCTTAAATTATAATTCTGTTTAGTATGTTAATCTGGTAATCATCATAGAAGTTAAAAGTGTTGCATTTAAAACTCCTCTAAAAAATAATCTTTTCACCATTGTTTTAAATACAAGAAAATATCTCGCGATCATATTTTCCTCACATAGTATTTATATATTTGTTGGATTTCCAATGACTATCATTTGAAATGTAAAAATTCTTTTCGATTAATTCTGAAAGATATTTTCACAACTTTGATCTAGATCATGGCATGCAATTTTATGAGAAAATATAAAGTGATCTCAAAAATTTAAGAAATAATCCAAAAATTGAAACCGTGAGGGGATTTTTAATTTTTAAACTATTTTAAATTAAATTTTAGTAATATTTAAGTTCACATATAATAGAGATAACATAGTAGTTTGGAATTTAGATGCTACAAGGCTGATAGTCAAAATGGTCAAGGTATAATTACTTAGGAATGAACTCTTCACATATAGATATGTTTCGACTTTCACTCCACAGAAGAGGTTGTTCTTTGTAATAATTATAGTAACAATTCCATAGTTTGTGAGCTGCATATGATTTATCCTTACATTTTTTGTTATAGGGTTTACAGTATTCAATTTTATAAAAATGAACAATTTTAGTTTTGTTACAAAATTTCGTTAGGTTATATTCATTGTATTCTTGAGGAAACGTTATTTTCGAATGCTCAAATAGTTTATTTAAGACAGTTTGATCATTGAACCACGTTGGTTTATTCTTGTTTAGCCATTTTAAATAATCTTCGGCTTGTTTCAAAAATTTTTCATTGACATATTTGCGACTATTGAATAAAGTAATACCTGCATTGAAATAGCTAGTGAATCCTTCACACCGACTACACGAATCATTAACTATAATTCCTGACATATTTTTAAGATCATAATCATATAATTCATCTATGTTTTGGACCACCAATGCATCTCCATCTAAATGTAAAAACCTCTCAAGTTCTGGATGTGCGTCCGGAAAAAGAAGTCGAATATATGTGTCATAACCAATCAGAAATATCTTAGGAGTTAAATATTGGGGTTTATATGTTTCGATATAGAATTTTGTATTCTTAATTGGACGAGCGGAAAAGTGTTTTCTATATTTTGATACAAGTTTCGAATTTATTGTTGCAATATAAAAAGAAATATGACGATTTTGATGAGTATTAATGATTGCATATATTGCTGGACCTAAATTTAAAAGATCACTTGACCATGCAAATAAAACATTCATTGTTTCAAAGAACTCACCATGAAATCCTTGGATTTCAACCGTTGAAGTGTAGCGAAAGATTAGAATTTCAGCGACCACTAAAGCAATGCAATAAAGTTGAAGGATAATATGGAACATTAATTCAAGTTTTATGAGTGCTCTCTGAAAGTAAACTACATAATTTATTCATTGGTTAGACATTCTAAATCTTTTTTAATATCGTCTATTATGAATGTTTTTCATACTTTAATGTTCACAATTTCTTAAATAAAATATTAAAATTCCCCAAATAATTATATTCACACATTTATTTAATAAAGGAAATATCAAGAAAAAGATCATCACAAATTGAATCATGAAAAAATAATTTATAACTATTCAATCAAAAGATAGTGAACCATTTATATATGTTTTTAAAATAAATATATAATATGAAGTTTTTGATATACTTATCAAAAATTGAATTGAAGCCGACAAAATTTGAGAGGTTATCGATTTTGTAATTTAATCGTTATCGTCTTTTTCTAAACGTGCATTTTTACATTAAAAGCAATGCAACTCCAAAATTAATTGGTATTTAGACCTTAATTAGGTGCAGACAAACGAAATGCAGTCCAAATATTTTGGTGATATATGAATTACATAAATTTAGGGAAATTGAAATTATATCTTTTTAAATTTTTAGGAAAACAGATTTATAGAATTGTTTAAGTCATCAAAATAATGCAGACTTAGGTCAAATTTTCCAAATTTAATCATTTGCAAGACTTTCAAGCGACTTCAAAATGTCGAAATATAAGTCCAAAAATAAAATTACGATTACAGTCTATCCTCAATTATTATCACGCTAATTATTGAGTGACCCATGCGTTCGTATGTATGTAATACCTTTTAAAAAGGAGATGAGAGAGATAAACTACATTTACAATTTAAATCTGATGTATTTACTTGTTACATTTACAAATGTAAATGTTTCTCGTAATGTTTACATTTTGTAAGTATAACGAATAAAAATGACGCACTTTTTTTACAAAGTCAAATTATTGTTCGATTTTTGCAGCTTGTAAACGATTAATTGTATAAAGCAATTGATATTAGCACGACATAACTGAATAATTCTAATATTGAAATCAAAAGCCCTTAAAATATCATGATATTTTAATTTCATAACAAATCTAGGAGACTATTTGATGAAAACATATCCGAGTGGGTTTTGTTGTATTATATAACTTGTTATTGACTTCTTAGCTTTCCAAATTTTTTTCGATAATGAGAAAACGAATGAAAAATCAACATTTGGTCCATTTAAAATTTGATTTGTTTACATTTTTTTTTACTTTTTGAATTTCAATTTATATTTTCCTCAAGAAATACTTTAGATTTTAAGAAACTAAATCATATAATCTACTAAGAAAATATATTAAATCCTATAATACTCAAAGTTTTGTGATAAATCCGATCTTTTTTATTTTACTTTTATTATGTTTTTGCAAACTTAAGGTCCTCACTAGGTAAAACATAATACTCTTTGAAGTTAAGTATTTTCACAAAGAGAGGACCAACAATATCAAAATATTGAATAAAGATTTGTATTATTTTATTTATTTTTAAGAACATGTTTAAGAACCCTCATTATCTCCACGAATATTGCATATTTTTCTATTCTAAGACCACCAAAATTACGTTTTAATATAGAAAATAACATATTTATGTGATGCTAAAGTCGAAGTCCTTAAAAAATTAGTGTTAAACATCCATTTCTTACAAAATTGAAGAAATATATGTAAAATATAACACATAATTTAGTTATTTGACTCAATTATTAGTTATGCAATATCAGTTGTGTTTATATCTGCGTTATATCACGAGATGCATTGAATTGTCATAATTAGATCACCGTAAATCTTATCAATTTTTGATACACTTCCGGTGAAAAATTTAGCCTTGACAATAGGATGAAATATATTGTAAAAAAATAAATTTTAGATTTTGAAGTTTATCATTTCGAATAATGAAATATAAACAATACAAATTTTCTGTCGTTTCGAGATTCATAAATGATCGGAATCTTCCAGCTCCGACTGAAATAGAACTTTCGGAAGCTAATTTTCAAGACGAATCTTCTTTATTAAGATTTATTTTGGATATCCCTAAGGATTTAAGCTTTTCCATTGACTCATATTCAATGAATCTTTTGATACATTTCATTATCGAGCAATCTACACAAAATGAAACAATATTAAAATTCACAATTCAAAATATCACTTCTTCGAATATCTTTCAAATAGATTTGATACTACTGGAAAATTTATTCGAATATTTATCGCATTATATTAACAAGATTTTTTTCATTTTTTCATTAAAATTAATTCATTTTAAAGCTTTAGATAACATACAATACCTTTATTTATCAACATTTTCCGATCAATATGATGAGATATTACGTTTCATAAGCAGCAGTGACAATTCTCTCTATATCATCGATACATTTATTGCTTTGATTAAAAACAATATTCTTGACGTTGAATTCTTCCAAAACGCAGTTTTACTCAAGAAAGAAATTTTTTCTAGTATTATTGAGTACGAAAATCAATATTCAACTTATGCAATTGCAAATTTCTTTACAAAATTATTAAAATATTACCCAGGATATGCAACTGCTCTTCCATGTTCGGATATACTAATATCAAATTATTTCAACTTTTTTAATGACGTGAATTCAATTATAAATAACGAAGATTTTGTTTATCTTCTCAAATTTATAGTTTTATTTTATAAAGCAGTCGATATAACATCTGAGATGGCTTTAGAATTCATAAAAACACTTGAAATTCTGCGAAGTCTTTCTCCTCACTATTCATTTACAGAGTATGTAGTTCAGGGGTATTATTGTGTACTTCCTCTTATACCCATGCAAATTTAATCTACCGATTTTTTAAATTCACATGAATTTTTAATTAATTATGCAATTGAGAATTCAAATCTTCACAAATATTTGAAATTATATTCCAGATGTTTCCGCAGATTTGATAGCGATGAAATATTCAAAAATGTTTTTCATATCTTAAACCTTGTAGAAGTTACAACAGAATATTTATCAGAAAATCAGGATCTTTCTGAGAAATAAATCTTTATTTGCAACGATATCCTAACGAGGGTTAATTTAATTTTTATTTTTTATTTCAAGTTTGAGTAAACTTTCAAGATAATCTATATAAGCCTTTTGATGTTCTTCATCTAGATTCTTGTTTAATATGTGATGAATTTGATTTTTTTTTTGAAAATTCAAGATAAAATTCTTTTTTATCTTGATCAACAACATGAACAATTCGAGTACAGCGTAACATTTCATCAATATTTTCTGTTTTCTTCGTTTCTAGATATTTTTCAAATATTTCTTGCGGAATCTCATTTTGATATACCCATTTATTTTTTTCCGGATGCTGATCTTTGTACTTAACGAAATATTGCTTGACTATTCGCTCAGAAACAACATATTCGATCTCTTTTCTCTTTCTCATTGAATATTTGTGACACTTTTGAATTCAATCAAATCAAAAATATTTGAAATTGCTAGAATTTTTTTTCTTTCTCATGAATATTTGAAATGACTCAAAAGGAAAACTCGTTCGATTCAATTCAATTTTGAATCAGAATTTTTTAAGGACCAATAAATCAAATTATGTTAAGAAAATCTTTTTTTAACTCAGATTATCAAAAGTACGTTAAACCTTCAATTTTATCTCATGTCGGAAAGCGAACCGACAATAGTGGAAGAGAATCAAACTATATCAGTATCCATCCAAGCTATTGTTGATGAAGAAAAAGGAGATGGAGCTGATATGCTTGATTTAATTCAAAATGAATTGAATTCTCGTAAAAAATTGAAATATAGAATGGAAATACCTGAAAATTCCCCAATTCCAATTCTCAAGGAAAGATATAGCAAATTAAAATTTACAGATCCTACAGAAGCTGCTATATTTATTGCAAAAGATTCATATAATTCTTTTTATCCATTAAATTTTGAGCAAGGAAAAAAGTTTCGTTGTCCTAACTGCCAATTTTGCATGGAGCTTGTAAAGACTCATGAAAATGGTCAACTTTTCTTCATTCCAGTAATTAAACACGAGCATAGAGCAAAGCAATGCAAGCCGAGTAACAATATACCAAAAATTCTTAAGTTGCAAGCAGGAAAAAAAGTCTATGAATTAGCAAATTCTGATAATGTTCCTCAATGCAAAGAAATTTTTGCAAAAGAATTGAATATTCCCAATGCAACTTATACGATGTTCCATAATATAGTAAATAAACTTAAAGGAACCACAAAGGGGATAGAATTCAATCTTACAATTATTTCTCAACAATTTTTTCAATCATAAACAAAATCGAACAAGGATTCTGCGAAATGATTTTAGTTAAAGAAGTTAACAATGAAATTGAATTGCATACATTTAAGAAAGGTGATGAATTACCTGAAAATTCAAAAGACTTTCAAATTTATTCATTTATTGTAATTCCTCCAATAACTCATTTTTACATGCAAACACAAGCTTTTTGCGGAATAATTCAAATTGATGGAACATTTTTATTTTGTATTAAAAAAGGAAACTTACTCATTATTGGTACACCTGCACCAAATAATAGACTTATCCCTATTGCATTTGCATGGTCTGTTAGTGAAAATACGATAACAATTAAGGATATGCTCACTAAATTGAAATCTTTTATTCCACCAAGCAGATTCAAGAATATTTATTCCGATCAAGGTCCGGCAATTATAGCTGCTGTTAGAGAATCAGGCTTTTCTTGCGATCATAAATTTTGCTTACGTCATTTTGCAACAAAAAGGGAATACATCAATGTCTATTCCGAAATTGTTGAAGTCGCTTACGCAGACCATCCTCAAAAACGAATTGACTTGATTAAAAAGTTAGAAACTCGTTTACAAGAGGAATATCCAAACCGCGAAAATAATCAGGATCTCTTTAAGTACTTAGATAGTATTAACCCATTTGAAGGATTCGCTGACTACACCGCTGGCATACTCACAACATCTCTTATTGAATCCCTTAATGCCGAAATTAAAGATAAATGGGATACATATGAACCCGCCGAACTAATTATCCGTCTCATTGAACATGAATTCAATCTTGTTAAAAATGTTTTAACAGGTGATTTTAAATCAGATAATATTATCAAAAATCTAAATGAAACTTTGAAACATTCAGATATGTTTAGCTCGGTATTATATGATCCAATTCAATAATTATATTATGCAACTTTTGGTCGCTATACATATTGCGTAAAAATTATGTCAGATTCACAATATTCATGCACATGTAAGCACATCGAATTATACGGATTACCTTGTATTCATGTAATCGCCGTATTGAATCACTTTTCGAACAAAAATCTTCTTAAAAATTTGAATGATGCAGTTCATGCTCGCTTCAAATGTTCAGAGTTTATGACTCCTGTGGAAGATTTAATGAAATTTTATGTTGACCAAGCATCTTTAAAAATTCCCGGAATAAATTTCAACCTGGGAGAGATTGAAAAATTAAGGGGAAAAAGGACTAGGATTAAAGCATTTTACGAAAAGTGATGCTGTGTTGTTAGTTATTTATTTACTTTTTTTAATATTTTTTAAAAAAATAAAAGAAAATTCAAATAATTTTGTATCTCCCATGATATATCGACCCACGAGTACTAATGTGGCTATAATTAGAGATTGCAACTCTATTATGATCATAGTCCGGTGATATACAATAAGATTCAAATTTTGAAAGAATTAAATTAATAAAATCCCGGTGAAAAAAATAAAAACAGCTTCTAAAAGTATAGTTATCTTAAAATACGAACTTCAACACAAGTTTTTTGATCCAATAGAAAATTGAATTCTTTGAATAAATAAAATATTTTATGTATTAACATATTAAATTTCCTAATTATTTTTTCTTCTTGGGAAAATTTTTGAATTCGAATAGAAAATTCAATAAATTGAAATTGGGTTGAAAGAATTCTCCATATTAACTTGTCATATATTTCAGATCATATAAATTAAGTTAATTAAATTTTTTAAAAACCTTAATAGGATAAAAAAAAGAATTTACACTCTCTCACTTTGAAAACGTAGAAAATGCCAATCTATTGGTATACATTTTAGTTTTGTTAAGTTTACAAAACAATTACTCTAGATTTTAAAGATTTATCAAGAATTTAGAGAATATCCTTCTCAAAACAACTTCAATAGCGAAGGATTAGTATTGAATCGGATTTGTAACATAATTATAGTACATTACAATACAATTTCTCCGACTTTTAAATATTTTTGAAATATTTACAAAATATGCTCTTTCTATCATCGATACTTTAATACAGAGCAAATTTAGTAAATGTCATCACGTTATTTTTTCATAAATCGTTTTCGAACTTTTGAAATATTTATTTTAAACCAGTTTTCTACATTTAATATGTGAATTATATCAAAAGTAGATGGGCGATACTTGTAAATCTATTTAAACTATTAGTTTGCTATTATTGAAGAACTTTATAATTTTTTTTTTCTTATGTATGGAATTAAAGATAATTTTGCTGATTCCAACTGGTTTTTCTATATGAGTTAAATATGCCAAGTGAAATTGGACTTGCCAATATTGTAAATTGAAGTATGGACTATATATCGATTTTCATTGATTGATGAATAACTCGGAGTAATGTAATTGTTGATAATGAAAAATAGTTTTCAATTGCTGGTAAGGGCCAATGTATGTTCAATAGCTCCGAAAGCAAAAAATGCACGTTTAGAAAAAGACGATAACGATTAAATTACAAAATCGATAACGACGACGATTAAATTACAAAATCAATAATGACCCGAAAATTAACGTTCTAATATTGTGATTTCTTTCCTGAGTTGCTTCATTTCCCTGCGAATTATCGAATAAAATCAATTTTTCATAGCCACAACGGATAAATTGTTAAAATTATTAATCTTTTTTTTTAATCTAGCCATTTTTCCATTGCAATGCTTAAATTATAATTCTGTTTAGTATGTTAATCTGGTAATCATCATAGAAGTTAAAAGTGTTGCATTTAAAACTCCTCTAAAAAATAATCTTTTCACCATTGTTTTAAATACAAGAAAATATCTCGCGATCATATTTTCCTCACATAGTATTTATATATTTGTTGGATTTCCAATGACTATCATTTGAAATGTAAAAATTCTTTTCGATTAATTCTGAAAGATATTTTCACAACTTTGATCTAGATCATGGCATGCAATTTTATGAGAAAATATAAAGTGATCTCAAAAATTTAAGAAATAATCCAAAAATTGAAACCGTGAGGGGATTTTTAATTTTTAAACTATTTTAAATTAAATTTTAGTAATATTTAAGTTCACATATAATAGAGATAACATAGTAGTTTGGAATTTAGATGCTACAAGGCTGATAGTCAAAATGGTCAAGGTATAATTACTTAGGAATGAACTCTTCACATATAGATATGTTTCGACTTTCACTCCACAGAAGAGGTTGTTCTTTGTAATAATTATAGTAACAATTCCATAGTTTGTGAGCTGCATATGATTTATCCTTACATTTTTTGTTATAGGGTTTACAGTATTCAATTTTATAAAAATGAACAATTTTAGTTTTGTTACAAAATTTCGTTAGGTTATATTCATTGTATTCTTGAGGAAACGTTATTTTCGAATGCTCAAATAGTTTATTTAAGACAGTTTGATCATTGAACACGTTGGTTTATTCTTGTTTAGCCATTTTAAATAATCTTCGGCTTGTTTCAAAAATTTTTCATTGACATATTTGCGACTATTGAATAAAGTAATACCTGCATTGAAATAGCTAGTGAATCCTTCACACCGACTACACGAATCATTAACTATAATTCCTGACATATTTTTAAGATCATAATCATATAATTCATCTATGTTTTGGACCACCAATGCATCTCCATCTAAATGTAAAAACCTCTCAAGTTCTGGATGTGCGTCCGGAAAAAGAAGTCGAATATATGTGTCATAACCAATCAGAAATATCTTAGGAGTTAAATATTGGGGTTTATATGTTTCGATATAGAATTTTGTATTCTTAATTGGACGAGCGGAAAAGTGTTTTCTATATTTTGATACAAGTTTCGAATTTATTGTTGCAATATAAAAAGAAATATGACGATTTTGATGAGTATTAATGATTGCATATATTGCTGGACCTAAATTTAAAAGATCACTTGACCATGCAAATAAAACATTCATTGTTTCAAAGAACTCACCATGAAATCCTTGGATTTCAACCGTTGAAGTGTAGCGAAAGATTAGAATTTCAGCGACCACTAAAGCAATGCAATAAAGTTGAAGGATAATATGGAACATTAATTCAAGTTTTATGAGTGCTCTCTGAAAGTAAACTACATAATTTATTCATTGGTTAGACATTCTAAATCTTTTTTAATATCGTCTATTATGAATGTTTTTCATACTTTAATGTTCACAATTTCTTAAATAAAATATTAAAATTCCCCAAATAATTATATTCACACATTTATTTAATAAAGGAAATATCAAGAAAAAGATCATCACAAATTGAATCATGAAAAAATAATTTATAACTATTCAATCAAAAGATAGTGAACCATTTATATATGTTTTTAAAATAAATATATAATATGAAGTTTTTGATATACTTATCAAAAATTGAATTGAAGCCGACAAAATTTGAGAGGTTATCGATTTTGTAATTTAATCGTTATCGTCTTTTTCTAAACGTGCATTTTTACATTAAAAGCAATGCAACTCCAAAATTAATTGGTATTTAGACTTTAATTAGGTGCAGACAAACGAAATGCAGTCCAAATATTTTGGTGATATATGAATTACATAAATTTAGGGAAATTGAAATTATATCTTTTTAAATTTTTAGGAAAACAGATTTATAGAATTGTTTAAGTCATCAAAATAATGCAGACTTAGGTCAAATTTTCCAAATTTAATCATTTGCAAGACTTTCAAGCGACTTCAAAATGTCGAAATATAAGTCCAAAAATAAAATTACGATTACAGTCTATCCTCAATTATTATCACGCTAATTATTGAGTGACCCATGCGTTCGTATGTATGTAATACCTTTTAAAAAGGAGATGAGAGAGATAAACTACATTTACAATTTAAATCTGATGTATTTACTTGTTACATTTACAAATGTAAATGTTTCTCGTAATGTTTACATTTTGTAAGTATA